TTGGAGCTCAGTTCCAACTGTTCCCCAGCTTGTTAGTTCAAAGTTGGAGCTATGTTACCTGAGCCATGGCCCCATTGATGGCTGATGGTTAATTGGAGATAAGAGTCTCACAGAGTTTCTTGCACAGGCTGGCACTCTGAAAGGTGATCTCAGATCTCAGCTTCCTGAGTATCTGGGATTATGGATGTAAGGCAACAGTGCCAGGAGGATTTCTGTTCTCTTTCAAAATTAGTCTCTATCTTGCCAAATAGCTAATTGCTTGAAAGGTTTTACAGATTATCACCAACTTGGACGTGGCTGCTGAACTTCTTGGTCTATATTGAATCAATTTGAGAACCAGTGACAATATTTTCACAAAACTTCATTATTAGTGTTCAGAGATTTACATAAATTGTAAAAGGGTCATATTGACAGAGGTACTTCTGTCTAATAAGCTATTATCATAGTTTTCAGGTATTTGTGGCATGTTTACCCTTTGCCTAGCTTGAACCTTCCTGTATGCCCTGACAAGCGTCATTAGCACTGCGTGTATTTGTGCTTTGTATTTAATATGGGATTATTTCATCATGTTTAAAATAAAAATATTATAAGAATATGATTCCATAAGAGCTAATCATGCATTTCATCTGCAATTATTATTATATTTTTGTCTCACTGGAAATAGAAGTAAACACCTGTGTTTCCCTCTTCTTGATAAAAGCTAAACAAACAGAACAGAAATTTGTTATTTTGTTTTCCTAAACTTGTTATATCCCTACAACTGTAAAGGGTGTACTTCCATGGTGTGTGATTGTATTCAACCATTATAAAATGCAAACACATTGGAAAATCTGGGAGAAAGTAAGGGAAAGGGTGACTTTGTCCAAAAAGAAATATGCTTGGGCCTGAGAAGGTGGCTCAATGCTAGAGTGCTTGCCTTGCATGCATGAGGCCCTGGGTTTGATTCCTCAGCACCACATAAGCAGAAAAAGCCAGAAGTGGTGTTGTGGCTAAAGTGGTAGGGCACTAGCCTTGAGCTGAAGAGCTGAGGGACAGTGCTCAGGCCCAGAGTTCAGGCCCCACAACCGGCAAAAAAAGTGCTTATATGTACATCACATTTATAATAACAATAAAAACATTAAAAATTCAAAAATGGAATATATATCAAAATATAACACGATACCCCTTATAATGTATATTTTATGTATCATTCATACACAACTTTAAATTTAAAAAGAGAAGAAAACAAAAAATTTGTTCAAATTTATTAAATTTATTTAATATTTAAATATGCTGTGCTGTTCTGAAGAGGGTCTTGTTCTCTGTGGAAATTTGCTCATTATTTTCCTGGGCTTTTAAATTAAAATTAAATTTTAATTTCCAAGTAAATTAGAACTACAACTACTTCACTTATAACATTAAAAGATTTTTATTTAAGTAATGCTATTGAAGTTGAAAATAGAACAGTGGTTTTCAGAGCCTTGGTAAATGAGGGGTAGGGGAAAAACAGAGATCTCTTGATCAGCTGTATTGAGATGGGGTTAGATAGAAACAAGGAGACTAGTGTGCTATTCCATAGTAGAGTGACAGTAGGTAGAGGATTGAAAGGATTCTGAACACCTGTACCATGAAGCAACGAGAGGAAGTAGAGTTGTGGTTCCAGTGGAAAGCTCCAGCATTGGGCTACAAAATGAACTGAAAGTGGCAAACTCTATGTTCCAAACCCAGTACTGTCACAAAACAATAAATAAAGTAAAAGGTCATTGATAAATATTTGAGATGAGTATATTTAATCCCAGTTAAAAATTTTAAATTAAATATGGAGGAATCAATACGATATACCATTTATATATGCACATATAGTCTTATGCTTATATGTAGCTACTAATATTAATAAAGTTTCTTTCTACAAATGAATCCACTGACTACACTAGATATGGAAAAAACATGTGAAATCCCCTCACCATGAGATAACTTCTATCTATATTTAGATAAGTGCCATTATGTTCATGCAGAACCAGTGTTTCTCACCTATAGTACTTAGTGATGCTTTCCTCTGGAGTGTGTGGTGGCAGACTGAGCATAGTGAAGCATCTGGGATCAGTTTCTAGACTGCAGAATTCAAATTAGGATGTAATGCAGCACACACGCTTTGCTAATGTGGAATGTGATACTTACACTTACTGAACCGGAGTCAGTAGTCCCACAAGCAGTAAAGTGGCATCAATGTAGAGATCAATTTCCTATTCTAATTGGTAAGCGTAAGCCCTAAAAATAAGTGTGATATTAATAATCAACCATGTAATGATTACTTAATATGAAAACTACAAAGATTGTATTGCTCTGAATATGCTAAGCTGTTATAAATTTATATCATGTGGACATTTTGAATGCAACTAGCTATTTCATCAGTGTTACATATTTAGTAATTTTATGTGTATGTCTTTATCTGTTTATATTAAACAGCAGTAGTAACTGTTGAGCTCATGACTGATGCTGTTTCTTAGAAAAATCTTTTGAATAGGATTGTCTAAATTAAGGCTTAAATCAACTGGATATTCTTGCTAATAAAGAAAAAACTGATTATTTTCTAATAATGACAAACATTTATATTCTTTTAAATCCAGTCTTTACTAATTTATTGGGAATATCATTTAAATCTATTATTTTAATTTGCATGATGTATAATTTTCTTATTAAAATCTTCACTGTTTTACATTTTAAGACATGGATAGTTTCATTATTATAGTAATGACTTCTTTTATAATTTTAATATTTGGTATCATTTAAATCATGAAGATGGGGATTTAAAAAGAAAAAGATAGTAAAGTTTTTGAATAATGAAGCATGCTATTGCTATTCTCTATTAATTTGACTAATAGGATGGAATAGTCCATAAGTTTTATATGCAATAATTTACATACATTGTGATTTTTCTTCCTAATCTTTTTTTTGGGGGGTCTGGTTGTGGGGCCTGAACTCTGGGCCTGGGCACTGTCCCTCAGCTTTTCAGCTCAAGGCTAGCACCCTACCACTTGAGTCACAGTGCCACTTCTGCTTTTTTCTTTTTGTGGTGCTGAGGAATCAAACCCAGGACATCATGCATGCAAGGCAAGCACTCTACCACTGAGCCACCTTCCCAGTCCCCTCTCCCTAATCTTTTTTATTTGCAAAACTATTTTTTTCAAGGGAAGGAGTGAGAGAGGTGGGGGAGGGAAGGGATAGTGGGACAATAATAAGGGAAGGGGTAACAATGATTGACAAGAAATGTACTCATTGCCTTACTCATGTAACTGTAACCCCTCTGTACAGCATCTTTACAATAAAAATATTTTTAAGAACTCAGTTCATAATCATTCTTATTTCGTACCAATTAACTTTTCTCCTAAGTCTGCAGAATTCTTTTATCAAACATGCATGACTTATTACAATTCTTCATTTAAAATATTAGCTTGTCAATGAATTTACCAATCTAAGTAATGTGCATGCAACTCTAAGCAGGTTACCATGCATCTTGATTTATTTTCTTTATATTTATCATGATAGAAAAATTTCCTTTTTTATGCCTTAATTTATAACATTACTTCATTTCTTTTTTTTTAAATTTAATTTTATTTTATTTGTGAACATACCGTACAGAGGAGTTACAATTACGTGAGCAGGATAATGCATACATTTCTTACCAAGCATTGCAGCCTCCTCCTTTGTTTACCCTTCACATCCCTTCCCAGCCTCCCCTCTCCCCCAATCCCAATCCTTCTCCTTCCTCCCCCCGCCCCCTGCACCGACGTTGTAAAGGTAGTTTTGGACATGACAACTTGTACTTCTCATTGTTGCAACAGGTCCACCTGTATCCTTAACAACTGGTTTTTTCCCATCTCCTCCACAAGTTATACTGACATCAAATATAGTGAAAGCAGGGGTTATACTGTGGGGGAGGGACATACAAAGCAACAAAGAGATAATCTTATAA